AGCCCCTTTCCCCTACCAGTGCCTGTGGTAAAGGGAAGAATCCTCAACGGCGATGGGCATATGGCACTCGCGCAGTGTCTTGAAGATTACCCGAACCATCCTATTATGGAGGAAGGTTGAGGCGCCGGTCTTGGTGCAGACGAGGGAGTGGGCTCGGCTCAAGCGGTCCTTGCATGGTAACAATGCACCTGCACCACAAAGTTTGCCTGTGTTGCAGTCTGCTCGATCGTGACTCCCCAGTACACGACCGATTGACTCTCGATATAGATCAGGCAGCATTCTTTCATCTGCTGACAACCCTTGCGTTGTCAACCACGACAAAACTCNATAACAATGCACCTGCACCACAAATTTTGCCTGTTCTGCAGTCTGTTCGATCGTGACTCCCCAGTACCGACCGATTGACTCCCGATATAGATCAGGCAGCATTCTTTCATCCGCTGAGAACCCTTGCGTTTTCAACCACGACAAAACTCCCTTGCCTTTTCAATCCTCCAAGCAGATCAGTGCCCTATTCTATTACGTTTCCTAGCCTGCTACATTTTGCATGTCTGTGTCCACCATATGGCGCACTGCTGCATGAAAAGGTTTCGAGAGGAGGGCTTGGCCTCCAAAGACTTGGTAGTGTTGACCAGATTCATTTCGGCTGTAGGTAGACGGTGGTTGATGTTCCACGTCAGAGTTTCCATTTTCACTGGGTTTTCCCGCCTTCCTGCTTCCAACAGGTAAACTCCTTTGAGGGCGTGGGTGAAGTCATCACTTGTGGCAAGTTTAGCCCGTGACTGCCCAACAGCTTTTTCAAGCTTGTCTTTGGTGATGATCTCCTCTAGCTTCTTGAGCGAGTCAATCAGAGCCAATCCTGTCGGTAGCTGGGCAAGCCGGGGTAGACATTGCTCAACTGTGTATCCTGTCGATGCTTGCACTGACTTGGAGAACACCAGCGCTTGCCCTGCCACAAAAGCCGATTCTCGAATGAGAACATTGCTCGTGATTCCTAGTCCTCCTTCTCGCATGGGTAGGTNAGGGAGGTGCACCTGTGCCCGAGCTGTCCCTTTGAAGAATTCTACCTCCTCTCTCTTCGTCGGGTTTGCGCGTACTTCTTTTTCCGTTGATATCCTCATGCTGTCGGCCATCTTGCCGAGGACGATCTTACTCATTGCCCACATCAAGTTATCATGGTTTCTAGCGGCAGAGTTGGCGATAGACGGTGCAATCGTTCTCAGCAGATGGAACAAGCGTGGCACACCAGATAAACGCAACAGTTGATAGCTGGCTTGAGGGTCGTCAAGCGTTGCTAGGCGGAGTATCAAGTCCGCCGGGTCACCACCTGCGAATTTGGAGACGAAATTCCTCTGAAACTCTTCCGTCCCTACCGGGATCCCAACTACTGACATGCCACCTTCAGCAACTGGCAGACCGATTTTCGTCAATTGTTGCTGTTCGTCGTTTGTCAAAGAGAACATGCAAAGACCTTCCGGGAAAAGCACTTTGGATTTCGGGAGACTGAGCTCAATCCCTTATTGGGAGAGACGTTCCTGAATCCAATTCGTTACAGTGGATATTGCGTGCCCGTTCCTAGCCAAACCTGGTAGAAGATGCGCTTGTAGATCGTCGACGTATCCGATGAGTTTGACTCCTGGCACTGTTGGCTTGTTGTTGAACTCTCTCATGATATCAAGGAGTCTTCTCAGAAGCCGAACCCTCCCAAGTTACAGCCTTGTTGAACTCCGCGCTGTGAAAGGAACAACCTCGATCGAACCATCTTCCATTTTGAACAGAAGTTTCGCCTTGGTTCGAGCGTCTAGATGTTCCCGAAGTACTTCAAGTGTGGCGTATGAGTGGCCACTGCTGGCAAGATGGAAGATCGGTGTGTGTGTGTGTGTGTGTGTTTTTTTTTTTTAATGAGCCAACGAGTCCGTGTCAACGAAAAAGAGTATGAGGTAGATTAGCAGTGAATTCATAGCGTCAGAGAAGGCTAAATACCTGTATGTGAACGATTTCCCGGGCAGCATACAGTGTGTGATTTTCTTTGTTTTTGTGCTCCGGTAGTGCGCTTCGAGTGGACTGGTTTGCAGGAGAAAACCAGGCAATGATTCAAGAAACGATATTCTTATCATGCAGTGTTTTTTCCCCTCGAGTAGCAGATATTTGGTGCCGCTACATGCGCGATGCTGCTGCAGTTTGCCGCGGTGACCTCTCGCCGGGTGTTGTTCGGTGCGACCAGTGCTAGTGTGGCGATCGAGCCGTGCGCGCAGCAGTTCTTCTGCTTTTTTCGGCCCTGTGCTTAACCTATCTTCAATTACGCGTCATTTTTTCCCACTTATATTCAATGGTGTCATTTTTGTATGTGCTTCGTCTTCCGTGCTGTCATTATTTTGTACTTGAACTTATCCTTCATTCGTGACGAAAAATCTGTTTTTACTGATTTTCCGTTGCGTTATTTATTTTTTTACTTTATCTGATCTTCCACTGTGTCATTTATTTATTTATCTCAAGTTGTCTTCCATCGTGTCAATATTTTTACGCCGGGGGGGGGGGGGGGGGGGGGGGGGGACGCGGNGGTGGACTCGGAACAGGGCAGGGTCGTCGGAGCGGTGGTCGACGAGATCGTCAACCTCGTCAGGAGGTGGAGATTCAACCGCTTCATCCCCCAAGCTTATCTTCCCCTGAGGAACCTTCCGCCTCCAAAGGTATGCAGTGTACCACCTGCCCATGTGAGGGAAGGTGACAAGTGTACGGTCGGGGTCCATTTCATGGGGCGGGTTATTGCAGGGCGAGTGGGCTGTACAGTACACGGGCGAGTGAACAATCGTGTCATTTTTTATACCCTGAGTAACAGGCGGGTGCCCGCTATCGGGCGGGCGAACCGGGCTCGCGCATACCTGCATAACGGAGGGACCCCGACTGTTGTACATGTTTCCGATTGTGCAGCAGGCAGTGGTACATCAATGATGTCTGGGAATCGTGCTGCGGAAAGTGTCCAAGAAATAATGTCGGTTCAATGGTTGCCCATGCAATTGTCAAACATTGTGCACGAAGGTTCAAGATTCAGTAATAATCTTGCCAAGTGTACAGGAACTGTTCCCGCCGAAAGAGGGTTGCGCAAGTCTTGGCAAGGACCGGGAGGTGGCCATTCGTAACCCCCCCCGCCCTCCTCGTCCTCTTCCTCCTCGTCCTCCTCCTCGTCCTCCTCCTCCTCCTCCTCCTCCTCCTCCTCCTCCTCC